GATCCTTATGGTGGTGAATTTGGCAATGGGTGCATAAGTCTCATTGAAATCAATTCCAGCAACTTGTAAGTATCCTTTGGCAACTAATCTTGCCTTGTGCCTCACCACCACATCCATTGCATCTCTTTTAGTCCTAAACACCCATTTACAACCAACACTAGATCGATTTGGTGGAAGAGGTGCCAATTTCCATGTACCATTGTCGATAAGAGATTGGTACTCTTCTTCCATAGCCTTCTCCTACTTGATTGCATCTTCACACTTCATAGCATCACACAAAGACAATGGATCAGCAAGAAGAGCAACATTTATATTTTCTTCACTTACTTGAGAGAAGATGTGATTCTTCCACCATTCGCCACGTTGCCTTCTTTCTCTCAAAAGATATCTCCTTTCATTGATTGAAGAACATTCACCTTATTCTTTTCCAACTCTTAAACCTTGTCATTTCTTACTCAATGGTTGGAAGTCTTCATCATTGTCATCATCCCAATCTTCAACATCTTCATTTCTTTCATTGCTGGTCCTATCAATTATAAGAGCCTTCATCTTTTCAACCTTCTTTGGCTTTTCATCTTCATCATCTTCATTGTCTTCATCTTCTTGTTTCTTTGCTGAATTCAAAGATGTGTCCACAAACACACCATTACTCCCACTTGGACACATCTCCAAGTGGTCACAAGGATTTTTGTGTTCTAAAAAAACAACATCACGACTTTTGATGATCTTCTTGATTTTCAAGCACATTAGTCTATATACCTTAGTACCTTCACAATAACCAAGAAACACACACTTTGTACCTTTTGCATCAAGTTTGGACTTCATACAATTAGGTGTTTTTGCATATGCAATGCAACCAAAGGTCTTCATATGAGAAATGCAAGGTTGTCTACCACTCCATGCTTCTTGTGGTGTCATTGATGCAAGAGCACTTGTTGGACATCTATTTCTTGTATATATTGCATTCACCACCCCTTCTCTCCAAAATTCATAGCCAAGATTTTGAGCATGTAACATACTCCTTGCCATCTCTACAATGGTTCGATTTGTCCTTTCAGCAACACCATTTTGTTGTGGAGTGTACGGAGTTGTGGTTTCTCTAACAATTCCTTCATTCTTCAAATAAACATCAAATTGCTTAGACATGTACTCACCTCCATTGTCCGTACATAGCACCTTGATCTTACATTCACTTTGTTTTTCAAAAAGTGCTTTAAAATCCTTAAATCTCCAAAAGCATTCACTCTTGGCTTTAAAAATATAGATCCAAATCTTTCTTGAATAATCATCAATGAAAGTAAAGAAATACCTTGATCCTCCAATACTTGTATTATTCATAGGTCCACATACATCTGAATGGACAATCTCTAGCAACTTGGTAGCACGTGTTGCTACACTCCTTGGAAATAAGGCCCTTTGTTGTTTGCCTTGTATGCATTCTTCACATGCAAGTTGTTTTGTATTTTGGCTTGTATTTCCAAGATCTAAGCCACTTACCATGGTCTTGAGCTCTTTCATGCTCTTCACATTCAAATGGCCAAGGCGACGATGCCATATATTCAACTTGTCTTCGTTTGATGTAATCTCAGTAAATGCAGCTACCTCCATTCCATTCACCTTCTTACAAATGAGGTAGTACTAATTTCCGTCTTTCAAGCTTTTGAAGACCTTGTTTCTACTCAATGATCTTACAAAACATCCATTCATGTCAAATTAAACTTTAAAACCTTCCATTACAAGTTTACTCACCGAAAGTAGGTTTTGCTTCATCTTGGCACATGAAGGACGTTTTTGACTCTGATCCGATTGGTTTGTCCATTCACAACCACCTCTACCATAATAGATCCAATTCTAATGGCTTCACATGTACCACTATCTACCAACACCACGTTTGGTGCTGGAATAACTTCATAAGTATCAAATGAAGACTTATAAGGTGTCATATGCTTGGAACAACCTGAATCCACAATCCATCTTGACATGGAAGCCATAGAGGTCCCATTTGTTGCAGTGAGTGCATAATCTTGTCCTCCAAACTCATCTTGCACACTATTTGCATTCTCCTTCTTCATCTTTTTGCCTTTGTAGCAATTTCGAGCAAAATGGCCTATTTTGCCACAAATGAAGCAAGATTTGACATTACCTCGTTGATTTGGATAGTTGCCCTTGCCTTGACGTGAATACAATGCTGAAACTTTACTTTGGGGCTCCTTTTCTTTCTTCTTGGTTACTTCATGGACAAGTCTTGTCGTCACATAGTCCATTGTAAGTTCTTTTACCTTGATGGACTCCAATGCTACAATAAGGTAGTTGTAGGATTTGAGAAGGCTCATTAGCAAGGTCATGACAATATCACTTTCTTCTAAAGGCTTGTCAACAATTGCTAGTTGGTTGCAAGAGCCTTTACCTTA